GAGAAATTGAGCAGCTTGTTGGGTCATATGAAAAGTACAAAAAGTTTGAGTACTGTTTAGCAGATATCACAGCGCCCCCGTATAGTTCAGCGAGAGCCTGCTTCTTGGAGAAGGCCACCCGTTTGCCCAGACTTAGGCCTACGTGTAATTCTTGGGTATGTTTTATGCTCTTCAGAACTTCACAACCAAACCAGCCATCTCAGTTAGGTATCTGTTTACCACAGTCAATAGATATGTATTAGATGGAATGTATCCACGAGATTTCTCAATTCTGGACATATACACTTATTTTCCTGAAGTTGTTGAATTTATGACAGTTTTGAGGGAACAATCTGGTTTTTTTTTGCGTTTGCATGTGTCAGCAAAGGTGCTTTTTCATTTCACTTCGTTTATTATTTGTCAAGGCATAAACAAATAGAAAACGTACAAGACAACGATGCAACTGCAATGGCAAGAGCCTTGATGGATTACCAAATGCAAACTTAATCCCAATCGAGTGGCTCTCCAAATGTTACCATGCTACAAAAACAGTTTAAATACCGGATCTATAGAAATATGCACAACTAGAAAAGTGGAGTAAAAACAATGGCCACCCACCATGTCACATCTTTACAGAGAATCGAAAAAACCTACATCTGAAACAACAGGCCCAAGCCTTACAAACAATCACCCAGGAAAATGAAAAAGAAAAAAAAATAAAAGTGAATAACAACAATAATTGCAGAAAGATGTGGAATGGTTCCTGCTCATTCTAAACACAAAAAAGTCATGAGAAATACATGAGAACATTAATTTAAGAATAAGATATAATTAAATACAATTCTGTCGTAGCTATAAATAAGTATAATCTTTAATAGGAAGAAATTGAAGTAGATGATGGTGTTTGCATGATCAATTTGTATCGATTTGTATTGATCTTTTGCTGAATGATATTAGGCCTATCAACAGTTGGTGATCACGTCGGTGAAAAAAAAATTACTTAACGTTTTCCGACGCTATTCCGTCCAAAACATGTAGTCTGCAAAGGAAACATGAATGCTGCTTTACAAAATATGGATTACCTACTAATGGAAAATAATATTAACTGAAGGTATGTGAGTTCGTTCCAGTGAATAGTATATACGTGTAATGGATTCTGAGTTTATGTGAGTCATGCACTTAAACCTGATAACCTGCGTCTTGCACCGCCACCTACCTGTAAGAATCAACAGCAATTTGCGTACTTCACTTGTATGGGTAATCCCTACCCATACAAGTGAAGTACGTGAATTGCTGTTAGCACGCAAGGACACGTCACGCTTGTGGCCTCAACTGAATGGAAGGCTCCTCCAAGAAATCACCTTTTAACAATGAAGCAATGTCATGATTGACCCCCCCTGCTTTATTGCAAAGTTGAATTGTTGATGGTGGCGTGGAGTTCAGGATAAGTCAGGTTTTCCCAAGGCTTTGCGGGGAGTTGGGTTGGCGACGTAGTAATCTTTCATCGCCTTTCAACCCTGCGGCCCAGTTTTGATTCCCGACTCGGTCCACATGTGGATTGGGCTTACAGTTCCAACCTAATTCTGAGGGTTTTACCCAGAAATTTCTTTTCTGGGGTTTTCCTCCCACCTCTAAAACTGTAACTGCTTCTTATTGTCTCCTCTCCACAGATGTGGGTAGGTGTTAGGTCGTTTGGCGGCTGTCTGAGCCGCCCTTGTATGGCATCGGTTCGACCACGTTTAATGTCCTCATTGCACACGCATTTGAACATAATCTGTATGAAATTTGCACTTTATAGACGAATAAATTATTATAAGTTGCATGTAGTCTCTTTAGCCGTACAGTGGAGCTTGCTGTTGTAACGATTAACGCCGCTGTTTTCCATGGACAGTCGCCACCTCCAGCGATCTTGCTTTCTTTTTAATTCAAGTTACTGTTAGATGTATTTCTGCCGGGGTTATTTTGTTAAACCTGTCAGTCACGTCGAGCACACAGCCTTTTGTCCAAGTCTGTGACGTGGGGCTGAATGACTACTTGCGACGTGTTAGTCGTGGACTTGTGACAAGTTGCGGGCCAGTGTTTGTTTGTAGGGTTTTTTTTTTGCTTTTGCTTATTTTGTGGAGTTTATCAGGCATCGATCTTTTGTACAAAGTCGTTTCCGCTATTGTCACATTGGCGCTTTTTAAATTCGGTCTGAGATATATTGATACTCATTTCTTATAAAGAAAAATTACCCCCGACCTTCTCAATCATGGCAAAAGCTAAAATCCAATGGCGGTGTCTACCTCGCACCAAATTGGACAGAATTAATCATTGTAACTGCATGTACTTATGAGAAACGGAGGCCATTGAAAAAAATTCATCGGTCGCCAGCCCTGCAGCCTCGGAAATATTAATCAGTCACGGCCTTTGATTGATAATGCGGTAGTGAATGGAACGCGACGGTGATGTAGTTCAAGGGAGCGGTGGGCTTTTTGCGGGAGGTGGTGATGACTTCACAACTGCGGGAACTGTTCTGTTTTTTGGAGTACGTGCTAGCCCGTCGCTCCGCACGTGCCAAGATATGTTTACCGTGGCGGCTTCATGCCGACGAAGGGGCCAAATTCCGCCATCATGTGTCCATGATTGTTGATCCTGGGCAATATGGAATACTACGGGGCACCTTCTGAAAACAGACGCAATTTTACACACAAGTTAGTGCCCAAAACAATATGTAAACTGGCAAAGGGGGGGCTAAGCTGGGAGTTCATATAAGGAAACAAACAATTTGATTTGGTGAGAGTCCAAAGTTCGCTAAACTACAGTATATAGGGCTATCTGTATTAACATTAATCATCCAGATGAAAGGTTGAAACATGGTGTTATACATCCATTCATTTACCTGTCCTTATATGAGGGAACATTTGAAGTGCAGGAATTGGCAGTAAATTGACTGCGAAGTGTTGCCTTTAGGGACTCTGATTTGGAGTGATTGTCAAGTGTCGCCTGTCACTGCACGAAGCTTAATTGTGTCGTGGCTAGGGCTTGTTAGCACACAACTCTATGGTAAGTGGCTCCATCCACAACCGTAGACTCGTGTGTGATTCCAAGCCGCAGCCATTGTCAGACCCAGCCTCAGTGGCTACATTGTAAAAACTGGTGTTAAAATCAACACTTTTCGGTGTTATCAGGTGACACCATAGGTGTTACTTTAACACCGCTGGTGTTACTTTGCACACCTATAAGTGTTACAATACACTGAAGGGTGTTAAAAATAACACCAAATAACACCAACAGTTTTAACACCGAAGGAAAATGTTGGTGTAGTCCTCTGATAACACCCGGGGTGTTAAATTTAACACTCCAGTTTTTGCAGTGCTATAGTGTTGGAGGGGGCTGGCCTCACCAACAGAAAAAAAAATGAAAAAGTGTTCTTTTTGATTGGCAACTCAATGCGTGTAATAAATGGTTTCCTTGCACCAAAATCGTGTGTCACACTATGTAAATTTACCACAAATATTGAACTTTACACGTCTGTAACTTGTTTCCAAGAATAACATGTTGTCTTCCTGAATTATTCCCCTTTATCTAAATAACTTCAATGAGCTTTTCTGAACCGAGGCTTTAATTTCGTCTCGCTCTGTTGAATTTACAACGGAATACCACGCGTGTATATAACCGAAAGCTATACCCGCATCTCTCATATTTATCTCAGTTTGAAACAAGAACTCAATATGGTAATTGAATCAATAGGGTCTTGTATTTGAAACACTTAGATCAAAATAGTCCTGACATAATGCCCTCAAATGAGGTGGACAATGGAGTGAAATTGATTAAGGTTCCTAGCTGAATATGTTGACGAGATCACAGATCAGCTGGACATTTTAAATTGATTAGACACCGGAAGCATATAAACTTAAGTACAAGAATGAAAGGGTAGTATTATTTTAGACCAAGCTGAACATAGTTGGGAAAAAAGGTAAAGAAAACAAAAACACTCTGTGGTGTTAAAATAACCGTGTGGGGCATATTGTTGGACTAGTGGTTTGTCATACTGTAAGTTTATGGTAATTTTGACAAGTCTGGTTTTTAGGAATGGGATCGTCTTCACAAGCCCACAAACTTGTCTTTAATGTGCGTCTAACCCGGCCGGTGCAGGCCAGTGCGTTTGTTCCATAGGATATGAACATAGGACGTTTCCCTAGAGGAGAAAACAACTGCCCTGCAACATGTCTGTCACGCAAATCCTCTATAGGCCGTAGTTTGAGCTACAAAGCAGATCCAAGTCTGGCTTTACTTTGCTCTGTAAGATATAACGGCTGATATCGAGTCCACAAGGTGAAGGTTCGCACATCTCGTCATGGACGTGCTTGGCTTCATGCATCGGACTATCGTGTTTAATACCCTCGCATTTTTATTGTTAATACCGTTCGACGAACCATGAAAATTGGGGGGGGGGAGTCATTTAGCCAACCTGAACATGGGCTGCCAAGGTGAAAACTCAGGTTTCTGCAGCATACACTTGATTATTTTTCCCGACCCTGTCTAGTGGATTTGGTTGTGCTGATTTTCACATCATTATGTTGTCACCGGCGGCGGAGTTTTGCGCGGGGTCCTAGTTTAATACCACCGAGCGATTTTACTTTCGATAAGGAAATGAATTTGTTGAGCGACGCCTGTTCGGGGTCAATTGATAAGAGCAATGACACTAGACCAAAGAACTTTACATTAGGACAATGAAAGCTAGATTGACGTATGGCTTTGCAATAAAAACGATGAAAACCAGTGTGGCGGTCACAGCTGTCTCCCGGTCTCAGTGGTCCCCCCCTGAATAAACGGACATTAAATGGACGACTTTCCTCCTGTTGTGCGCAGAGATGGCATGACGTATTTTTACCATATTTGGTAAGGGGGACCCCTGAGACCGGGCGACAGCTGAGACCGCCACACCGGGATAATGATGGTATATCGTACAGTAATATTAAGTGGTTTACTTTGAATTAAAGGCGCCTTTCCATATGCACGTCAACACTTGTGCCAAGCGTTGCGTATCCGTCAAAATCGCTCCTGGGGCGATTTTGAAGGCCCTACGTAACGCACACTTGTGTTATGTTAATGGAGCCGATTTTGGTGTCCGCGAAAGTGAAACGCACGGACGCATCTTGTACGCAACGCACCCCCAAAAAAGTATACCGAGAGGTGCCTTTAGACTACGTGCAGTTCAAAGAGCAAGTAACAGGCGGACAGTGTCACATGGGCCTTATAAATGGGATACCAATCCTTCCACAAGTTGTCGTGACATAAGATGCAATCAGTGCGGTGCCATCTTACTCCGCATCGAGTGCTTATGGGTGAACGTGCGCGTGCGCACGTCCGCCGTGAGAAGCTACCTGTCTGCATGAGTC